GCACAATTTCAACACTGCAGTTCCAACTTCAATACTTCACTGTACATTCCCACCGTCCACATCATGGACCGAGCCAGCGGCCGGGCTGGGCTGATCCCACGTTGCGGGTGAGGCGGGCGGGACGCTAAAGGAACGTCCCGAGCCGGCGAGAGGGCGCACCCCCACCGGCGGATTTTGGGCCGTGTGTGTTGCCTGATTACAGTGGAGACCCATGCCAAGAAACACCCTGCTTGTCTCCAGGGTGCTCTCGGTTTCTTGGGTTTCGATGGTTTTGGTATGGATAGCGTGACGTTCTCACACCAAAAATCAATGGACGTCCGGGGGTCTCAGGGTTGGGTTTCTCGTGGAAGGTTTCGTGTGGTCGGGTCCCATCTGTGTGTGTCTTGGCATCGCTCGGACGTGTGCATTTTTCCTTCGGCGAGGACCATGGAGGAGCATCCTTGATCATTTGGCGAAATATACGCGCACGTAACCGAAAAAACATAGGGAATGGACGTCCGAGCGATGGCGAGCTCCCTCTCCCCACTTTGGAATTTGTCCTCCAAAATCTGCCCGATCTAGCTCTTGTGCGGGACATGCCTGTGAGGGACATGCCCGACCTGACTCTTGTGCTCTCCCTCCTCCTCTGCTCATCGACCTCGATACTTGCACGTGATGAATCCTAGTCTCCTGTCCCCCCCTGACTCCGTCCAGCACGGTCAGTTCACTCCACGCTTTGTTCACATGCGCAAGCATTTGGCAAAGGTGGTCCTTCCCGTGGCAAGGGATGGGAGGGAGGGATAGGATGTCAGATGTGGCTCGAGCGCACCTAGCTTGTCTTCATCCTCTCTCCCGGTCCTCCTCCTGCCTCCTCCTGCCTCCATTTCTTCCTCCCTCTTTTCTCCTGGTATTCTTGTCTCCTCACTCCAGGAGAACTTATATTTCTCCTGATCTTCTTCGGTCCTCCTCATCCCTTTTCCTTCTCTGTGATCACGGTTCCACTGCCGTGTTTTGTCTTCCATCACCCCCAACCTATTCTTCCGCCTGGGCAAATGGCCGCGACGGGGGGGCAACTTGGATAGAGGAAGGAATCATCACCATACACATGAACCTTCGGATCTCCGCGCGGATTTCTCGGGTCGGCGTCGCTGGAGCCCCTTCAGGGCACCCCTTCCTGTCGCGGGGAGCGCACGATCTGCGCGGACCCCCAAAAGTTCGTGCTTCTCTGGTTGGAGCGTGTTTCTTTATTGCTTGGAGCATGACGGGCGTCATGGCCCTCGCCCCCCCCCCCTCCCCCGCCACCCCTATGACGTAACGCTCCCCCCCCATGTGCGCTCCGGCCTCTGCCGCCGTGCGCATCGAGATCCGTTCTGATTCAATGCACCATTCTGTGGTGCACGCAGAGATGCGCACGCGCGCTGTAGTGCCGACCCGCACGAAGGGGGGGAAGGGTGCGGGAGGAGGAGGACGAGGAAGAGGAGGAGGTGGAGGAGGAGGAGGAGGAGGTGGAGGTGGAGGAGGAGGGAGGAGGGAAGAACGTCGCATTCTCTGATCAGCGCTTCCCTGGGGTGGCGTGTAGCTGTCCGCAGCAGATCCTCACCTACATGCTCCCCTACCTGTCCTGTGCACACAGGCACTGTGGTGTACACCAGCGCTGCGTTGCACGCGGATGCTGTGGTGTAGACAGGCGCCGTGGTGTGCACAGGCGTTGCGGTGCACGCAAGCATTGTGGTGTACACAGGCGCTGTGTTGCACATGGTTGCTGCGGTGTACACATCACATGGTGTACACCCGCGTTGTGGTGCATGCAAACACTGTGTTGTACACAGGTGCTGCGTTGCACGCGGCTGTTCTGGAATACGCGGGCGGTGTGGTGTACATTCGCTGTGGTGCACTCGAGCAGTGTGGTGTACACAGGCACTGTGGGGCAGATCGCCACCTACATGCTGCTCGCGTCGTCGTCGTCGCTTGTCGCTGGTCCTTCATCGTCGCCGAAAATAAAGAAAGGCGCGCTTGAGAGGGATGGATGCACTCCAGAGTGCCAGACTCTCTGTCCAACCGGAGACATGAATCCTTCACTACACGCGTGTGATGTGTCAGGCGCTTGGCAGACATATGACACATTGATATATATATATATATATATATATATATATAGTAATGTTCATGGGGCGACCGGCTCATGTAATGGATGGCTTGGCATTGATGGTCATATGCGTGTGCGACGGTGATGCAGGGCGAAGAGCGGTGTTGAGGGCATTTCGCTGTGTGGCGAGATCTCATGTGTGAGCAGTGGGTCGCATGTAACGTAGCTGTGGGAGGTGCGTTCAAGGGCATCTCAGACAAGTCTCGGATTCTCATGGCTGGCGATTCGGGTGTTGCTTCTTGTTTTCACTATTGGAGTGTGTGGGGAGAGAGAGAGAGAGAGAAAGACAGATAGAGAGAGAGAGAGAGAAAGCGTGACCAAGCACCCAGAAGGACGCATGCAGTGCTTGCGCGCCGTTCAAGCAGTAAAGAACTC